TCTTCTGTGCTCTTTCTGTCTTCTTGTCAGCCTTGGTGTCAAAAAAAACTCTCATCTTAAGTTGATTTGCTTTGTTTCTGTCTCTTCTGTGCTCTGTCTGTCTTCTTGTGGGCCTTGGTGTCAAGAAAACTCTCACCTTAAGTTGATTTGCTTTGTTTCTGTCTCTTCTGTGCTCTTTCTGTCTTCTTGTGGGCCTTGACGTCAAAAAACTCTCATCTTAAGTTGATTTGCTTTGTTTCTGTCTCTTCTGTGCTCTTTCTGTCTTCTTGTGGGCCTTGGTGTCCTTGGTGTCAAAAACTCTCATCTTAAGTTGATTTGCTTTGTTTCTGTCTCTTCTGTGCTCTTTCTGTCTTCTTGTGGGCCTTGGTGTCAAAAAACTCTCATCTTAAGTTGATTTGCTTTGTCTCTTCTGTGCTCCTTCTGTCTACTTGTGGGCCTTGGTGTCAAAAAACTCTCATCTTAAGTTGATTTGCTTTAAGTTGATTTGCTTTGTTTTTGTCTCGTCTGTGCTCTTTCTGTCTTCTTGTGGGCCTTGGTGACAAAAAAGTTCTCATCTTAAGTTGATTTGCTTTGTTTCCGTCTCTTCTGTAATCTTTGTGCCTCCCATGCACCTCGTAGTGATGCAAGTGGTGCTGTGGAACGCCGCCGACTTTTTTAGCATGTTCTCTGTCATTTTTGTATCCGATGCCCTTGTGGAAAGTCGGGGCCCAGTTTGTCAAAAAACAGTGCATTAATGATCCCAATAAGTCTTATTTTTCACTGTGTTTTACAGTGTTTTATGCACATTGCCCTTCAAAGCCTTTGAATGCCAGAAAACAATAAAAACATCAAACATTGCCTCCCGTGCAGGTAAAATGCAACTTTTTGAGGGCAAATAAGCTCAACACAAACCCACCCAAAGCCACTTTTTACTGTAAATTACAGTGTTTTTTGCACCTTCGATCCTGCCTCAAGACACCCCAAAAGTCTGCAAATCAAAATCTCGAACTTTCACCCCCCCCCAACCCCCCCCCAGCAAAACCTACCGGGGAGCAACTCAAAGCGATATTCATCGTTTTCCGTCATCAGCTTGGCCCCCCCCCCCCCCCCCCCCCTTCCCTTTTGGTAATACTTCCAAGCGCTACAGCGCTTTCCGTCATCAGTCTCTTGATTGCTTCTAGCTTGCAGTTTCTGAAGGACAAATCCCATGGCAGCTGTGTGATGAACCCATAATAGCTTTCAAAGTGGTCCATCGAAGAAACTCTCACCCAAGTCTACGAGCATGATCCAGGTGTCTGACGAAAAGGAAGCAAATCTCTGATCTGCAACTGTTGACTGCCCAGTGCCTGGCAGTGAGGTACGAAGGCTTCGGGGTGTCGCGCCACTTTGGCATGGCATTAATTTACTGCTTCAGTTTTCAGAGGGAAGAGTGGGCCTTGCTAAAGCTAGCAGGGTTGTCATAGGAAGTTAGTAAGTGCAAACAGCAGCCAAAAAGCAAAGGTCCTGAGCCTGAGACGTTATCCTTTTATATGCAAAGACCTCTTAAGAGACTACGCGCCTATCCTATTCTTGTCCGCTACATCAGTCTGTGTGGCTGTGGTAGTTGCGTGGTTGTTCTTGCAAAGCTCTTGGTGAGAGCAAAGGACCAATGCAATCAATGCCAATGTTCTTGGTGGCTGACTTGGTCTGTGGCCATGTTCAGCAGCTTGCACAGGCCTCAGAATGCGAGGTTGACCATGCCATCTGCTCCCTTGACATGCCCCTTTGATACCTTTCTTGTTACAATCCCCTATCTCAGAGAATCCGAGCAGCTTTGCATTCTTTGTGCAAGCTCTTGTGGTGGGGCACTTTCACAGCCACTAGCACACAGCATCACGTGAGCGCCTGCAAGACGAAAGAATCTGCCAATGAACGTGCAGTGTGCCCTTTGATTGCTTCTCTGCAACAACCAGAGTGGATCGCATCAAAGGAAATGCAAAAGTAATTAATAAGGCGTGAAGAAAGGGAGGTGGAACAAGTGAAGGAGTTAACGCAAGACGAAGAGACAGGTGAAAGAGCTTAAAGAGGCATTGAAACGCAGAAGAGGGCAATGGCAAAGTGGTTCATGAAACACACAGACAGGCCCAGAGGCTATCAATTCCACGACACTGCGGAAAGAGACACTTGGCAAGAGTAGCATCACGGTGGAGCCGCTGAGGCTATGACCAAAATAACCCGCCAAGGGAATCAACGTTTCAATCTGTCGAGCCAAACAGATTGATACAATCTAATTTCGGGACGCCTCTAGAGCCAACACAGTCGCTAAAGCAAAAGCAGCTCCATCTAGCTAGCTCTTGTGAAAATCCAAAGGTCCTTATGTTCGATTGTGGCAGTCCGCCGTGAAAAGTCGCTGTAAGCACTCGGCAGATTCTCCCGCATTGGAGCCTTCCAAAGCCTCGTTGGCAGCGATGCCTTGGTTCAAGGGCCTGTGAACGTCAAACAACCCTGAAAAAGTTTCAAATCCTCTGAATCCATATTAAAGAGTCTGTGGTTTGCAATGTGTAAGTAGAAACGATGCCTTATCACACGAAACATTAACTTACAAGTGGAAATACATACGAACAAAAAATCCAAGGCAAAGTCACTGAGTTGCAGTTGTAGGATATTTGTACTCTACATAGAATATTACTTGCATGTTGAATCTTTTCTGTCGACATATGACCTTTCGTGGCATCTAGAAATGCTCTTATTTGTTCACCTTGGTATACTCTCTTGACCCGGGCCAAGACACAAGCTTCCACAACAGAATTGAACTCGTTGAAGTGAACAGCGCTGCCTCAAAAGGAAACCAACACCGGCCTTCCAACAAACTATCTGCTTAGCCTTTGCCCCTGAGGACACCATCCTTATTTGCTCCTGAGGGAACTACTGCAAACCTTTCAACTTTTGGACTGCACGCTACAACGAAGACACCCTGATACTCACCTTGATGTTCTCCTCTAAGACCTGAGGCTGCTGGCAACAGCCGTCCCTTTAATTTCTTTGCTGTCTCCCTGGCCTCCAGCACGGAGCTGTTCCAAGAGACCTTCCATGATCTCTTCCGGAAGTGCAGCTCCAAGGATCCGAAGGAACGAATCGCAGACCTGTAATTCCCACCGCGCGCATGTGCATCGCGACTCTTGGAGCTCTTGGCAAAACGCGCTCCAAAACCGCCGACCCCTACAGTACATGGGGCGGCGCCTAGGATGTTGCCTGCTTTTGCAGCTGCCGTGGCTTCCACACCTCTGTCAGTGGGTTTCGAAGCTGCTGTCTGGCGCCGATTTTTGGGCGCACAATGATTGAGGCCGTGGGATCTTTTTCGGTGGGCCGCTTTGCGCCCCTTACACATCTCTTTCATCAGACATTTAAACTGTCGTCTGCACCTCTTTCAGTGCGTTTCTGCTGCCTTGCACCCTTTCCCGGCGTAAATGGGCTGAGGCTGTGGTCGGTCTTTTCCGTGGGCGGCTTCTGAAGCTGTTTTAGTGGGTTTCGAAACTGCCGATTGGATGCCCTTTCTGCCGCTTTTGGGGGCAGAACTAGATGGGCTAAGGCCGTGGTGGGCTGTCCTTTTTGATCCAACCTCTGCTTCAGCCGCCATGACGCTGGCACCGCTTGCCCACAGCAAGCGAAAGCTGTAAGAGGACTGCCAAAAAGGCAGCTAACAGAGCTTGCCGATGCATATTCGTAGAATTCAATAGGACATTTGGATGTGTATTATGCATAGAAAACATCAAAAAATATTGGTTGCGGGTCGCTTTCAATGTCATTTACCACATGACGGCAGGGGTCGGCAGCACCAGGGCATTAGTCCATTCTATGGGCACTCCCAAGCGACCAGGTCATTTTGTGGTGAACTTGCTACAAAATGCGCTTTCCCAAACACTACTTACTTGCACGTCTTTGCCTGCAATTGCAAAGTCTCTGCTTTTGGACGCTTGAGGGAGACGAAGGTTGAGTACACATTCTCCTGGAAGAAGACACAATGCCGCGTGGAACGTAGCTACACAGTCTCTAGCTTCTGCAGCTTGTTCTTGGTTGTGATCAATCTAAGAAGTGATCTAGCTTGAAACGTGACAAAAGACCTTCACATGAACAGCTCTCAGGTGGGAAATTCCGTTCCCTCAACCCTTCCCGAGATTTGTAAGCTCCTGAAAGCAGCCTCGTGAACGTGGGCAAGCATTCCTTAGATGTCACGCTTTTCGCATAATACAGAACCTGTTTCTTTGCCGGTATGCTCAGGCTGTCTTGGGTCCAAGCTTCAGCAAATAGGCCAACGCTTCCATGCTGTCTGGTTGTGCAGCGCGGCGGAAATATGCCAGTAGAAATCTGAACGAGTTCGTGCAAGACTCTCATAAGAAACACATCGAAAGTGCGGCTATACTTTATTTCTAAATTTCACATGCCCTTGTTCGTATCTGAACGTGCTGCACTCTGATCCTTTGTTTCTTGAAATCCTGGCTAGAAGGTGCTCTGGAAACATACGAACGATTGACATGAGATGCAAAAAGGCAGCCCTTTCATGCAGCCAAGTGTCATCAATGGATTTGCAGGCCGCACTTCTAGAACCGCAGCCAAGGCTTCCTTGAGGGATGCCACCAGCTCGGGTGATGCCTCCTTCTCCATGGCATGGCTGCTGGGCATCAGTTTTTCTTGACCAATTCTGCGTTGAGTTGATGCGAAAAGTTCAGGCACATAACCAACGTCTAGCAAGCACAACTGCTGATGAACATCGGATGTTTAGAAAGTTGCCCGCCTATGTGTTTGCCTCATCAGCACTCGGCTCTTAACATCGTTAACCCCGTGCTGTTTTCACTCATGCTAGTTTGTACTAGACGGCTTTGGTTGGTTGTGGGCTCACCACATTTTGCTGCGCAAGGCGCCTTGCCCCTTCAGAGACTGGACACGGACATTTGCTTGTAACGTCAACACTTGAAACCTGAACGTCTCATATCGGGATAAAAGCCTAAGTATTTCTTCAGATGAGTAGGTCTCACCTTGAACAACTGGAAGGAAACAACGCAGAATAAACTTAGAAACTGCACGGCCGGCCTCTCCCTGAACATTTACTATGACCCTGACAAACACAGTGTCAAGGGAGTACATTGTCAATGGTTGACACGAGACCTTTGAATTGCTGAACCTCCAAGAAGATGCCCCTGGTTCACCACAAAGCACCTCTTCTAGGACACGCCTTTGGGGTCCCAGCAGAACTTCTGTCCCTCAGCTTTGCCCATCTCCTTGGTGGAGCAGTGGCCACAACAGAGGCCACACAGCTTCTCATAGCCTCATGCTTTTACGAGAAAATGAGATGTAAAAAAAGGACCTTCACCATCTTCTTTCACCTCTTTTTCTGGTCTGCGGATTCTTTGGTGCCCCGAGATTGGGTCAAGCACGTGATGAATCCGGTGACGAGCTTTGTGAAAGCCTTCATTAGTTGCAATCGTGCAGCTGAAATGGTGTGCATCTGCTCTTGACTAAGCTGGAAGTCAAAAAGGTCGAAGTTCTCATGGATCCGGTCTGGCTTGCTGCTTCGAGGAATGACCATAAAGTCCTGAAGTCCATTGATTGACTCTTGATGTCATGCAACAGCAGTCTGCTCCCTTCTTTGAAGGCTTCTGGCTCCTGCTGAAGGGCCCAACGCAACAGCACCTGTGCAGATGTCTTCCCAGTCTCTTTTGCAATCGCCTGCACTGTTGGGTGAGTCAGCAGCAACCTGCCATGGCACTCAAACACTTGGCTGTTGATGTCATGTCAGACTATAAAAGCCGGATGTTGTCCTCCAGAAGTGCCACAAGGAATCCGCTTTCCACAACAGCTGTTGGTCAACATGCTTGAATACGTCTTACAGAGTTTTGCACCTTGGGTCTAAAGCCTAAAGTTCGGCTTGACACCACGTCTGGCTCTCCATGCCATCTACACTCCAAAAGCAACACCACATTAAACTGAAATGACCAGCCCAGAATATACTGGACGCCACACCACCAGGATACCAACAGCAATTCTCCCCCGAATCTCGATTAATCCCAATCGTCCCGCCTGGTACCATCGATTTCACCATCTGACGCTCTGGCCCTGTTGCTGGCGCTGCCTCCACCCAGCGGCGAATAGGCCTCCAACTGCTGGTTGAGAAACGACTTACTTCGAGCTATCCCCACTCAACCAGGCTTCTTTTCTCTGGGTCATGGGCTGTCCGCCACGGTAATTTGCTGGGATACAGGGTTAGGCCACTGACAGGACGCTGGCAGGATAACTGGAATTGAATGCTGCCAAGCTTTAGTCACTATTCTTTTTGTCAGTCATTGTGCAACATGCACTTTGAAGCAGAAGTTCAAAGAAAAGACTCAAGATCCGACTACCCGACAGGGCCCCAATCCTAGGTCCTGGGATAGAAGGGTTATATATACTGTAACTCAGAAGATCGTACTGGAATGCGGCAGCAGTCCTTGTTTCCGCCCTGCACTCTTAAATGCATCAGTGTCAGTCGACCTCGATAATGATGCCATGCTTGCGACAGAATTCGATGGTCCTTGGAAGCCAACACAACCTGCAAAGCACTCTATATAGTTATATATAGTTCATTATGGTTCTTATCATGCAATGCAAGGCCAAGTCGCTCAGCTGGCTGGTATAGAGGATGTAGCTCCTTGCAATCAAAACAACACTCCAAAACAAATGAGATGCTTCCCTCACCTCCGCCATGTCCCAGTCTTGCCAGAATGTGTCACAATATGTCACAATGGGCCTTTCTTCGCTACCAAGCATCAATCTGATTGACCATGGGAAGCACTTCGATCCCATCCTGCTATCAAATCTTCTCTCAAGGAAACCTTCTCTGATCTTTGATCAAGCCTTCTCTGAATCCTGACCCTTTGACGATCTGCCAGGATTCAGCAGACGGATCAATCGTAGGCCAAAGCAGGCCTATAAGCTTAAGTAGCTAGTACCCAAGACGCGGGAAACCTCAGGCTTCTTCAGAGGCGCCTGAAGAAGCCGCAGGTTCAGAAGATTTTGGGGGGAATTTGATTCCTCAATAAGCTGCTGCAAATGGCTGGCCGTGAAGTTGCTGACGCCAATGGCACGGACCAGATGTTGCCTGGACACAGCCCAATGAGTCCAATGTTCAAGTCTCAATACAAATGAACACGGCGAGGAAGTACTATCATATGACCGCAACATGCTTGCTTCTGCCTCTCACACTGTCATTCAGAAACGGAAACACCGCCTTTGCCTATAGAGTTCCTCCATAGCTTTCCAGGTCTCATGGCGCGCACGCCGGTGCAAAGGTGAGGTATGAGGCTTCTTCGGCACGCCCTCAGGTGTAGGGTGTTTGAACTTAATGCACTGGATGCTGGGGTTGATAGGTCTCATCAATGCTGAACTAACTGACTGACTGACTGACTGACTGACTGACTCACTCACTCACTCACTCACCCTCCCTCCTGCCTGCTGATTTATGACCCGAATGTGCTCGTGTATTCTTGCACTTGTAATTCAAGTTTTACTGGCAAATACATGCACTTAAACAAATTTGAACATACATACAGGACTTCTTACGTTCCGTAAGAAAATGCGCGATCTCTACATGCAAAATAGCGGCTACCCATTCAAATTTGGTCTTGATGTTGTTCCAATTTCATGAAAGGTGCTGGCCAATGAATCAGATACAAGTCCAGCTTGTTTCGACCTTAGACTCTCTGTGCAGCTGGTTTATGCAGTTTGCAAGCACTGTTATTATTGGAAGATCTATACCAAAGGACATGCTATTGCTTTGGTCAAGGCTCTCAGGCTATGGATGGCTATGCAGTAGTTGTTCCCATTCGCATGAGATGAATGTCAGGATTCTGCCCGTTGGAAATATCAACCGAGAGACCAAGGCGTTCCAACGATTTTCTGCACGCCTCCTGGGCCTTGTCAAAGCCCATCTCGTAGGGCGAGCATTTCGATGTCACAAACACACCTATCGCAGGTTATCATGACAGGACAAATCCAAGGAAGAGATTGCGTGCGTGTCTTGTGTGATATGAATCTGCGACTGGAACCAGTCCAAAATTTCTGAGACGTGATCCGGAGAAGCTCCAAGACAGGGTTGCGAATCACGAATCATGATACCGAATCACGCATCACAAATCACAAACGAATCACGGATTACGAATACCGAGTCACGAAACCAATCAGGAACCACGAAGTACGAATCATACAGTAAAAAGGAATCGCGAATCGCTCGGCTGGGTAACGAATCACGAATCATGCGGCTGAGTAACAAATCACGAAACACAAATTTCTGGACTTATTGCATGCCCTTCACATGCACTTGCGATACCATGGTCCGATGCCTTCATTCTTGCCCTCGAGGGCACGCCCCACAGCAGCTTCGTTCTTGTAAATAGAGGCCGTGTCAAACAGCTGACATCCTTCCAATTTAGATGTCAAGCAGTTCAACAAATGTTCGTAGCGATCACTGTCCTGCTTTCAAGGCAGCTGTCACAGCAGTCTCCTTGGATGTGAAAAGAAGAGCTCTGGACCGCAAGTCTCAGACTTACAAAGTTCGATAGCTCGCACTTCCCTTGTGTGACTGCTGCGTTTGTGAGAGCGTAGCGTGGCTCAGAAATGGCTGTGGTCGGCACAACCTTTCAAGACTTCAAATTCTGCCAAGCCTCACAGGTTGAGGAACCATCCTGCCAAGACGCACCATATGTTTTGATTAATACATCCTCACATGTTTAAGACCTGTTTCCTGCATTTATCGATGGTTGGTCGGGATACGCATGGTTGAATACGCATGGTTGCCTGCCCGTACAGCTGCATCTACCAGGGTCACGGTTGTACTCGGAAGCTGGTATTCGGAAACTACAGCGTGGTATTCGGAAACTGATATTCGGAAACTGCCCGGTTGTATTCGGAAACTAAACAGTTGTATTCGGACACTGGATGGTTCTATTCGGAAACTGGACGGTTGTATTCGGAAACTAATGTTCGGAAACTACGAAGAGCAACACCAACACTATTCACGGAGATCCTCAACTTTTCACGCAACTATCCACCTACAGTATGTTTATTGCCTCCCCCACCCCCCCACCCCACCCCCACAAATTTTATAGAATATGAGGAACATAGTTTCTGAATACCACGAAATCGTTTCTGAATACAACGAAATAGTTTCTGAAGACTAGTTTCTGAATACGGCGCAGTTTCTGAATACGACTTTGTTCATTTACCAGGCATCCTGTCCCTGTGAAAGCTAACTTGAAATGCATCCCTGCATGCTTCTGTTTCGTGAGGGCCAGCCCTTCCAGCGTGCTTTTAGGAGCAAGGACGCTACGAGGGGCGCCTTTTTGTATATATATTATTTGTCAATGGGGCTCCGCAGTTTGGCTGCCTGACCTGCTCTTCTCTTCGCTTCCTCGCTCTTGAGCCTTGTCATCGAGCTGCCATGTGCCCATGCCCAAGCGGGGGAGCTCAAGTCCGTTGGCCAATCGGAGGCCTCAGAATGAGCCACAAAGTCGAACATCATTCACGTGAGTGAAGAAGTATCACCTTATTGGAACCGGAATTTCCTGCAACGAATCCGGTTGCAAGAAAGTCCAATTGTGCGGAAATATTGTGTCTTTAAAAGTTTCTCTGGAGCAGTCTGCCTCTTGGGCACGGGACAAGGAATATTTGGGATTCTTGGGATGCCTGACATGGTGGCTTCTTCAGCTAAGGAGCAGGCTAGACAGGCAGAAAGGCTGGCAAACATGGGAACAAGGACTCAGAGTGTGGGTAAGATCAAGATGGAGCTTCCAAGTCCAACAATCCTTCTTTGGCACACAGTATGACAACATTGAATCTGATGAGAGTACCAATGGGGTATGTCCTGGCTGCAGAGTTTTCTTCAAAATTGCGTCTGGAGCTGTTGGCTCGGTCACGCACTAATGATCACTAATGACCTTCATGTTTGGGAAAGGCTGCAAGATGCCGCAAGGAAAGTATGAGGAAAAGGAACAGTCGAATTTGAAATGCTACAATTAACCAAGATTCTCGATGACAACCGGCTGCTTCCCGCCTGAAAAAGGTCTTGCAGTTTCCAATTCAAGCATTGAAGCTGCTGCATTGGCCGATGGCCAAAAACATGTAATATATAGGTGAAAATGCAGTTGAAGCTTTGACATCTTGAACTGAACGAAGCAAAACGCGGTGCCTGCAGAATTTTCTGGAACATTTCCAAGCCCGGGCAATTCTCGCAACCTTGATATATCTAAAGATTCCACATTCTTTCAACCAATGCAAAAAGCCGCTGTTAAACACGTGCCTATGTCTATGTCCAAGAAACACTGCCGTTTGTTTGGCAAACATCCAATTCATCCAAATCGTGTAAGCTTCCAACCAGCGGGTGTGAACCAGACCAAGCTAAAGCGATCTCCTTGGAAGGGCTTTGTCCAATGCCTCTGGGTCCAGCCATTGAACTCCAGTGGTTTGTACCTGCACACAACGGACATTACAGTAGTGTGAGCAGGATAGTAAGTGCAGCAGGACAGGTTGACCTTGGAGCTGCAATACCCCAGGGAAAACCAAACTCTTGCAGCTTAGTCTACAAAGCCCCCAGCTGAGTTGTTCAATGCTTGCCTGATGTCGTGGCTATCGTTTTCCACACAGAGCTCACCACCAGAGTAGTCGCCCAGCCCAACTATCAAGGAAATGCCTTGACCTGTTCAAAAGTGTCACAGGTCAAAACCAATGTGTCCATATGGCTCGTCCACTGCAATCATTCTGAAGCTGCACTTCCGAGAACCATCTAAACACGCATACTAAAATCGAATCCGTGAATAATTACAAAACAATACGCGGAGAATGAACTAAGTAGCGCCACCAAAGTGTGCAAGAAAGTGCCTGCACCAGCTCCCGAGTCGATATGGGGGAGGAATTGAGCTCGCTTGTTGATGGCCTAGGATTGCCATGTACTGCTCCCCGTACAAAAAACAATTTCACTTTCACTCATTGACTAAGTGAGGTCGATGCCTCAGAAAATCAAAATACAAAAAAAATAATGCATGCTTGGCCCAGGCACGATCGTGCTGCTACATCTTCCCGGCTTCAAAATGCGCTCCAATTCAAAGCAACGCATTGCCAGTTCCGGGAAGAGTCGGTTGCCGTTAGGAGCCTGCGAACGAACAGCTTCGCTCAAGTCGCGGAAAGCTGCTTTTGTAAGTTCAACTCAACACCAAAAAAGCACCAATAGTGTGCTTGGTCCTAGAAGCGATGCCAGGAGCCCCTAGTAGCGCCTTGCTCCTAGTAGTAAGGCCAGGAGCCCCTAGCAGCGTCCAAGGCCCTAGATACCGTACAACACAGACAATACAAGTATTCTATGTCCAAAGAAGGGTTCATGATGTTCATTGCCATGTCAAAGAGATCCGTCATCCATTTGGATTCGCCATCCAGCCAATGCTCAACATCGCCTCCATGGAAGGGGGCATGGAGCCAACAGTGAAGGACCCGTGCTCCCCTGCCGAGAGATCCAAGTGCAATGTTTTCTTATTTTCTTGCTGGTTCAGAACAAGTTGCACTCAAAGCATTGGGAGTCAGTAAGAGATACAAAGCTCGGGACTGCTGCTTTTGATGCTTTGCATGTCCAAGCTCCATTGAACTGATTGATGAAGCATGAGGAAGCAAAAACTACACGCACTCCACTTCCCTCCCAGCCCGACGCTGGGATAAATGGCCCATCAAAATCAGTATGTGTCAAGCAAAGCTATGCCTTTTGGGGACACAATAGGAGCAAAGGGCATCGTTACTAGGAGCAAGGACGTTACTAGGGGCTCCTGGCATCGCTACTGGGAGCAAGGACGCTACCAGTGGCTCCTGGCATCGCTACTGGGAGCAAGGACGCTACTAGGGGCTCCTGGCATCGCTACTAGGAGCAAGGACGCTACTAGGGGCTCCTGGCATCGCTACTGGGAGCAAGGACGCTACCAGTGGCTCCTAGCATCGCTACTAGGAGCAAGGACGCATCGCTACTGGGAGCCAGGACTAGGGACTCCTGGCATCGCTACTGGGAGCAAGGACGCTACCAGTGGCTCCTGGCATCGCTACTAGGAGCAAGGATGCTACTAGGGCCTCCTGGCATCGCTACCAGGAGCAAGGACGCTACTACAGGCTCCTGGGATCGCTACCAGGAGCAAGGACGCACTAGGGGGACTTGAACACATTCTTTCACAGCGCCAAACCCACGGCCTTCTGAAGCTTTGATGACTTTCTCTCTGCCCTGCGGCAGCAGCAGGCTGTCTGATTTGTATACAGGTACATGTAACTTGGCTGACTGTCTTGATCAAGCTCCTGCAGAAGCCCAACTGTGGTGTGGGTTTGAAAGAACTGCAACTAGAGTTTTCACATTGCACACCTTCGAACAAGCAGGCCACGTGCCACTTCGCTCTGCTTCTCGAAGGAGCCGAAGCACTTCGGCATACCTCAAGGTGTACTGGCTATGCTCATTCGGCACTGTCTGCAGCAGTACACTCCAGGACACAGACTACCCGTGAAGGTTCTTGCATTGCCGTAAGCTTATGACCGACGAAGGCAAAACATAGCTTGTCCCCAAAGTAATTAATCCATCAGCTAAAATCCACGGCAACTCACTAGCGATGTTCGCCAATGCCAACCAAACAGTCACACTGGCTTTGCTGCTAAGTCTCGCCTTCGGGACCTAAACAGAATCAACAACAGAACAGGATCTAATTTACAGTCTGAATGCTAGATGTTCATATCCACATTGCTGCAGCCCTGCCTCTTGCTTCACATCCGGAACCTCTGCACTTGTGTCAGCTGGTTTCTTGTTGTTGAATTCCACGGAAAGCTTCTGTGTCAAAGGCACCTGAGTCCCCAAACTCTAAAGTGGAATCTCTTGGCTAAGCTTCTCGTCTGTGCTCGGCACCAGTTGCTCTTCAAACCAGGTCTGGAAGATTTTGTCCAGGAATTCCTGTGCTATCTTTTCTTCCACCTCGTCAACTCGAACGCAAAACAACATGGACGTACTGAGCACCAAGAATCCAAATCCAATCTTTTGAATAAAAGTGAAAACCTTGATTGAACAGGTGCATGAAGCAGCTCAATGAAGAAAAATATCGAGCACCTTCTTCCGGAAGTTTTGTGCTTCTTCACCCTCGAAAAGTGGCTGGAGGAGGTGATGAAAATCCTTTCCTTGCAGCAACATTCACCAAACCCATGGAGGATCGTACCAAGCGACCGTGAAGCAATTTGTATCTGAAAACACAAATAATCCATGGTGCACTCTGTGTGTGTGTCCACACTTGTACCAAAGGACTTTTAACATTGTACAGTGCAGGGGGCCGGAGCCAGGTGGGGGGCCTCCGGCCAATGAAAACACCCCCCACCTGGGTGCAAACGCACCTGCGTTTTTCCAATTTAGATTTAATCAAGCTCCAAAGTGCTAGTGCAAGTCAAAGTCTAACTGCGTGTAAAGGTCTACCTGCAGTAAAGTGGAACTTCACCAACTCATTCAGCTCTTGTAAAGTGCTAATGCAAGTCAAGGTAAAAATGCGTGTAAAGGTCTAATGGCGTGTCAAGTGGAATTTCACAACTGTTTCAGCTCTTGCGAGCATCAATCTAAGTGTGTTTCGCCACAGAGTCCCGCTGCGGGCGGTGGTGTGATCTCCAGTGAGGGGCGCAGCATGTGCACATGCCCTTAAGGGTGACCCCGCTGATCCTTCTGACTGCACGTGATCTTCATCGTGGACCTTGCTCGATCCATCGTTCTGCTCGAAAGTGCCGACCATACGCCGCAGGGCTTACTGCGATCAAATTCCAGAAAGGCCTACATCATGCTGCTAAGTATTCACACGTCACGCTGCTAAGTATTCACACGCCATGCTGCTAAGTATTCACATGTCATGCTGCTAAGTAGTCACTTTTTGGTTCTTTCTTTTCTGCTGTTGCTTTTCGTTTTCTAAGTCTTTTCCGTTTTCTAGATGCCTTTTAGGTGTAATTCAGGCCTCTTAGTCAAGGGAGCGCCGTTTACCGCTTTTCGTCGACCCCACACCCTCGCACCTTTCGTTCCTTGCCTTTTTCGTTTGCGTGGGCTTTCCTTCCCACACCCCCGCACCCCTTGCACCTTTCCTTTCTTTCCTTACCTTTTTCGGTTGCCTTGTTCTTTCTTTCAGTCTTGTTAGGTTGGCATTTAGTCAATGCACTCCCGCGCCCTCTTCGGACCTTTAACACTGTACAGCGCAGGGGGCCGGAGCCAGGTGGGGGGTCTCTGGCCAATGAAGACACCCCCCACCTGCACGCAAACGTACATGCGTTTTTCCAATTAAGATTTAATCAAACTCTAAAGCGCTAATGCAAGTCAAGGTCAAGCGGTGTGTAAAGGTCTACCTGCAGTAAAGTGGAACTTCACCAACTGATTCAGCTCTTGTAAAGCGCTAATGCAAGTCAAGGTCTAACTGTTTGTAAAGGTCTAATTGCATGTAAAGTGGAACTTCACAACTGATTCGGCTCTTGCAAGCATCAATCTAAGTGTGTTGGAACCAAGGTTCTAAAAACACATTGCGCCTGGTATTCAGTGCCTTCGGGCACCAAAGGGACTTTAAGCAGCTGCTCCTCGCTAAAGGCAGCTTCCAAATAGCTGTCCTGCGCCAGTCTATTCGCAGAAAGCCAACAATGAACCACGGTTTATTGCTTCCACACGTGTGGACATCGCTCAAAAATGCAAATTCAAGAATCCTCGACGAGGCATACACTCTAAGCTGTTTCCAACACAGCATGTTCAACAAACTGAACCAACTCCCTGTCCGGTAGCAGCTGCCGTTGCAGGGCAATTGCCAGACCTGCCATGGCCCGGAGCTGCCCTGGTGCCTGAAATTGAAGCTTGACGACGGAAGTCAATGAGTCTTCTCCAACTGGCCAAACAGTGCTTCCAGGCTTGCGTGTCAACATTCTGCTTTTGTCTTCCAACTCTTCACAGTTCTTCGAATTTCGGACCTAACCTTGTACTTGATTCAAGTCCTCCCAACTTCAGTCCTTGCTAGTGATTGTTCTTCTCCGAATGAGTCTAATGAGGTCGAGCTTCCAGGCTATCCACGGCAACTGTGAGGCCCACGGCATCGCCAGGCACAGCGCGGCAGCGGTACACGAAGCGCCGGGCTAAAGTGTCCGTCGGCTTCAGGGCCTCCCTGGGCGAAGGCTCGAACGAGAACACAATTGAAGCTACTAGTAGCCAGGGCGCTACTAGGTTGGAGGCCATTGCTTGTAGGTTGGAGGCCATTACTACTAGTAACAAGAAGCTACTAAAAAAAGTCCAGAGTCGAATTCATGTTTCATGTCTTATCCTCTAACACTCCAAATTTCCATTCCCACAGGTCTGATGAGAGGCTCTTAGTTGAATTTCAGAGTTCGAGTCAAGGATTCCCAACCCAAACCCGGCAGAGTGGCTGCGAGAAGTTGTGAAAGAGATGCTCACCTCAGCAGTTTTGGAACTGAGACTGCGTGCTTTGATTGACTGAGACCGGTGAGGAAGGAAGCTGTGCTGCTCGTGGACAGCTGTCAGCTTACTGCAAATCAGAATGTAAATCAAAAAGAAAAAACAAGAAGACAGCCACGATGACCATACAGCCAAGGTGCCTTGAAACTCTCTGAGGATTTCCTGTGTGAAGCACGAAGGAACCCTGCTTTAAACATATTGCGACAGCAGAGAAACTGTGGAAGAACAGGCGCGCAAGCAGATTGGGCAACAGCGGAGAACCAAAGAAATAGGGTCTTTCTAATTCCTACTTAATACTACACCACGAGGCGCAATCCTCCTGGAGAAGAGAATAGTCAATACGGGTAAGATCCAGCCTTGAGTCGAAAGAACTGCCCGAGACGCTCTTCTCCAGTATTGCCTTCTCCCCAGCCAGCTTGGTGCTGTTTTTTCGCCTTGGAACATTCAATCGGCATCGATCGCCATATTTGGTTCTTCAATGGCTCGCCGCACCTTTCTTTCCAGGTTCGGGGCAAATTCTCCTAGAAAGAGCCAGTTCTTGCTCGCTCGCGGCGTTACAAACAGAAGCCGCTAAAGCTACGTGGCAGCGGATTTTAATGGTCTTTGCATCACTTGCATCGTCTCCTCCAATACCAACCACCAGAAGACACACTGGGATCAACACTCTGGCACAAACAATCGCTTTACGACACAGCCCACCTCTATCTCTCTCTCTCTCTCTTTCTCTTTTTCTCTCTGTTTGCATTTTTCTGTTGTATTTACACTGAATTCTGCACATTCTGATGTTTCTGGTCGAAATTTTAGATGGATTGCGGAGGGACCTTTTTTTTAACATTGTACATACCCCCCAAAGCTCTACCTTGTTCATATCTTTGCAATACGCGTTCCAATCAAGGTTGGTGAATCAGTGGATGAACACATACGTTGTTGATACGTTGAATAAAAAGCTGATAGGTGTTGTTAACTATTGATTGCTGGAGAACAAAGAAATGTCTATTTTGGTTGTTTTTTCGTGATTCAAGGTTGCATAAGCCAAATCAAAACACTAAAAAACCATAGAAAAGAATGTCATTTTGATCACCAACAAAAACAAACAACTCAATGAAAACAAAAAACATCTGTCCGGCTGAAACCAAAGATTCTCCTCAGAGTTGTGGTTTATTTGGTTTTTGGTTTTGGTTTTGGAGCTTTCCCAGGAAAACAAAAATGCCGAGCCACTTTGGAGACATAGAGTTAGCCGTTTTTGTACTTTTTGTTTTCCCCCAGGAGTCCAACAAAATAAGTTTCCAATATACTGCATCCGTATTCAACCTGGAATGTTGAATCCTGAATCTAAAGAAATCCTGACACCATCTGAAGCCCAAAGCTTGAAATATAGAATATAACAACATGAAACACATTTTCTTTACAATTGTAATTGACATCAGTGGTTCTAAGTATAACATAGTCTTTCTGGAAAACACATGTAAAAGTGTTTTTATTAGGACCAGGAAATAGGGCATATGAATGGCTAACCTGCAGAAAATACACCGAGGTTGGTGGGAAGTCTTTAATGTAATTTTCGAATATGAAAAAGTAGCCGCGCGTGATAAAGTAGATAATGTTGAAAGATAAAAAAAAGTCAGGAGGTCAAGGGTTTGAACAACGATTGCGCAGGTCTATGAATGCACCTTGAATCAAAAACGGCAATTGCGCATGCATTGGCAAACCTCAGCTAACAAACAAATACACCCGTCTCACCGATAGTATTATCAAAAGTGTTCTGCTTCATCTCACGGCCTCTCACGGCAAAAACTTGTCCTGCAGCGCGCGCGTAGATTCAATTGGCGTCCGCCTCCAATTTCCGTCGGTAGCTGCCGCGAGCACGCTGGGCAAGCCGGCGCCCTTCAAAAACACACGGGGGCAAAGACGATGGCTTACAAGGCGGCCGACCTCGTCCAAAGGACAGCGGTCAACCTCGTCTTCGGTGGCTTGTTCCACAATTCGCGGAGAGCTTCGCCCGCCGGATATCGGACGTGGGCAACCACACCTTTCCCAAACTTACGATACGCTGCTTGGCGGGAACTTTAAAGCCTCCAAAATTAGGCTCCGGTCTAAGTGTTGTAGCCGGCGCCTGGGCCGCAGCACGTTCGAGCTCCTCGAGCTGGCGCGCTTCAAACCGGCCTGCCCGAGAAACTCGTCAATTAAATCCAAAACTTGCGAATCCAAAACTTGCAAACCTTTAACAATCTTTGGAGCGTCGTTTGCCATGTGAGCGCACTCACTGAGCTTGATGCTCCAAAGCATTGCCCCGTTTTGCGTCGGGTCAACCGAATTTAAAAACAGCCTGTTGCGCCTTTTCGGCTGCAGCGCAGGCAAGACCTCGTACCAGGCGAGCCTCCACAGAAAGAACGTGGCCACGGTAATCTGAAAGTGAGGCTCCTCGGGAAAGCTGAGTTTTTGCCCAAAGAAGACCGAACCTCCAGCTGACCCAGTTGAGGTCAACTGGGTCTGCAGATTTGGCGTGGCCCCTTGCGCGGTCATACCAGTAGTGGTCGTCGTCGTACTAGTAGCAGTGGTACTGGCGGCGGTGGTGGTGATAGTAGTGGTAGTGCGCTCAATTGAACCCAGTTGACACATAGCCGTAGCAGTAGCAGTAGCAGAAGCAGCAACAGTAGTAGTGGTAGTGGTAGTGGTAGTGGTGGTAGTAGTGGTAGTAGTGGTAGTAGTAGTAGTAGTAGTAGCAGTAGCAGTAGCAGTCGTAGTCGTAGTCGTCGTCGTCGTCGTCGCCGCGGCAGTGGCAGTGGCAGTGGCAGTATTAGTAGCAGAAGCAGTAACAGTAGTAGTGGTAGTAGTAGTAGTAGTAGCAGCAGCAGCAGCAGTAGCAGTAGTAGTGCAGTAGTAGTGGTGGTGGTGGTAGTAGTAGGAGGGGTAGTGGTGGTAGTAGTAGTAGTAGTAGTAGTAGCGGCAGTGGCAGTAGCCAGTTGACCAGGGGGCTGCGCTAAATCTCTGGAGATCAACTGGGTCAACTGGGTCCGGAGATTTAGCGTGGCCCCCTGCGCGGTCGCAATGTATGCGCTTCTTGCTTTGCTTGTCATTGGCTGTAGTATAGACACTGTTTTTACTATCATTGATTGCAACCACTTTCTGAAAAGAAATTATAGGGGGTGGCTTTGGAAGGCAGTGACACGAGCTGGGGTTTAAGTATATAGAGCTAAGTTCTTTAAACGCAGTTGCGATGTTGACAATGAGTTTAACAAACAATGCACCAGATGTCTTTGTTTAGCCCGCTCCCTCCCTACTTTAAGTAAGGGAGAGGTAGCTAGTAGCTTAACTAGCTACTAGTATGCAGGCAGGATAGCTCACGCTTCTTCAAGGAAGATCCCCCTCGCACAAATGATTTGGTTTCTAGATGTTTAGGATTCCACATTCACCTCTGAACATGAAGTCAGTGCTCCCAAAGCAAACTGCTGAGCTTTCAACAGGTGAACTTGGTTCCTTCATTGGCATAGTCACAGTCATTGGTACCCCAGCCGTATCCCAAATCTCACCAGCGATCGTCCGAGATCGCTTCGACTCATGCACGCGCTTTGTTTGCGGCGTCAACTCCTCACACTGATCGCCTGAGCTGTTGGACCGTGACCGGCGAGCCGGAGACGGAGATCCTGCACCTCCAGCAGGCGCAACAGGATTCACTGGCGTCACTGGAGTTGGAGGCGGCGGCTTGGGTGGTGCGACAGGAGAAAAGAAACTTAGAGCCAGGAAGGCTGAACAATAAAAAATACAGGATAATAGAAAGGGTAAAAGAGAAAGACCTAAGGAAAATTAAGTTAATGCTCAATGGTTTTTGGATAATATGACCCATCAATGTAATTAGCGAGAATGTGGATTTACATTAGACATTAAAAGGGTAGTATATCGTATATCGACAAACCAGACCGCTCAAAGCAAGGACAATGAAATTATCCGTACTTTAGATAATTGCATTGCCTTACTGTCAGATACAATAGTAGTTGTAAATGAAATTTTGCAAAATACAAATACTTATAGTAAAAATTACAGAAGTAGTTGGTATATGTACTACGTCATGAATATTACTCAACAGTATTGGAAAGGATGTCAGAATCCAGAGCATTAAATAGAACTAGGCAATGGATACTAAACAGTATTGCAAAGGATGTCAGAAGAACAAAAGATTAGATAGGTTTACTGAAGCGCTTGAAACCTGCGACAGTTGTAGAGCCAAACAATCAAGAAGTTATTAGAATCACCAACAAAACAAAAGAATGGAACGAAACCAACCCTGAAAGAGTAAGGAAGCAAATGAAAGAGCAACCGCAAAGGCACCCGAAAAGAATTACTGCTCGTTCTGTGAATATGATGTCCAGTGATGTTTAAAAAACCAACGCGAAAAGGGAACCTCTATCAAGAGAATGTCAGAAAACAAACTCACCCAGAATAGTTTGAAAACGAAGGTGAACAAAACAATAAATACTTTGGAATGCATACGTTTTTGCTGTACTGCCTTCAAATGTCCTCAAATTTGGCCGTATCAATGGAGACCACAAATAAGGACTGAAGCACATAAACACAACGCAAGTAAATTACCTCTTAGGGCTGTCTAATGTTTAGGTGCGTCTGAAAAAATGCAATCTGCTTCGCAAAATGCCTTGCAGCCCCAAAGGTCTTTGGGGGGGGCGCCGTATATATACTGTATATATATATATA